GTGTTTATGTTATTGTGTTTATGTTGTTGTGTTATTGTGTCTATGTTATTGTGTTTATGTTATTGTGTTATTGTGTTTATGTTATTGTGCTATGTTGTTGTGTCTATGTTGTTGTGTTATGTCATTGTGTTTCTGTTGTTATGTTATTGTGTTTCTGTTGTTATGTTATTGTGTTTATGTTATTGTGTTTTAAGATGCATGTTGAAAATTATGGGCACAGTAGGATTGCAATCCAGAGACTATTGCTTCAATCTCTCGGTGTGGCAATTGAAACAATTATGCAAATGTACGTATGTTGAACTTATTTAGCACCGTACGTAACCAACTGTGCTAATCGGCGTACGCGTGCGAGGCTCCGGCACCGCCTTACTTCCGGCATGCGCTGTGGCCGAGGGGGTGCGGAGCCACGAGGCTCGAGCGTCGGCTCTCCTCTGGGGCTCTTGCTCTCACCTCAATGTCCACTCGGTAAACTTCCCCGCATCTCTTCTGCGTATGTATATACGTATGTGTGTTGAACTTTTTTCGCGCCGTATGTAGCCAACCGTGCTAATCGGGGGGTGCTGCAGAAGGACAACAAACGGAACACAAAAAGTAGTTCTTCAGAAATTAGATTTCAATCTAGATAGCTCCAGTGGCTTCCTAATATCGGAAGGAAGAGCGTTCCAGACGGCCGCAGAAGCGCATGTGAAAGCACACGATGCGGTGACCATCTTTGTTCGATGGCCAGCAGCCAAAAGCCGCCGCAGCTGCTGCTGTGAGGTTGCGTTCCTCGTCGGAGGGGTCGTTGGAGCGCAACAAAATGGTCTCGGTAACTTTGAAGCAAGTTGCTGGTGGGTGACTATCGAGATCTTAGTGGATGTGCAGAGAATGCTCGATTATAATACATTTTTATCGCCACACCATGACAGTCTCAACGAGTCTCGAGACTGTTATTCTCAAGGAGGGTTCTGTCAGATTTTCTCACTCGGGGGACGATGTTGCTCCGTGTAATCCCAGTTGAGTAATTTGCAGGATCTTGTCGTACGCTCGTACTCTTGACATACTTTGGCATATGGCAAGAGTAGGGTTGTTGTGTGCAAGTATATGCAGTGAAATGTTAGAGTCACACAGTGTCCATAAAAATCTCCTTTTGTCACTGTATAATCTTGAAACACTTCGTGGGAACAATATGAGTTTTATATTCTTGGTTCTTTCGGTAAAGTCACGTAGAAGGGAAACAATAAAAGAATAAAATTATGAAACAATTAAATTCTCACGACGTTTCGACTGCAACACAAGCAATCATTATCAGGTGTGAAAACCACAGCACGAAAATTTGAAAAAAAGTGGCGTTTTTTTTAACGTTAGCACCACGGAGAGCGATTTGGCAGTTATTCAGATGGACGAGTCCATTTATGTTTGGAAAAGAGGAAGGGGGAGACGAAAATAATGGATGCGGTCTGAAAGCCACCGTAAGCGTGAACAATCAATTAAGACCCGAAATGGTTGATCAAATCCTTCCAATGAATGCTAAGCCAGAATCTATCTTCTCGGTTGAAATTGTCTCTGTGCTTGTATGTGTGGATAGCTTCATGAACGAATCTCTCATGGTAGCCAGATGGCTTGCAGAGAACCTCTGTCTTGGAGAAGTCAATGTCATGTGAGCCTACTGAATTATAACAGTGATCTACCACGGCCGAGGTGTTGGTCCTACCGTGTTTTAGGTCTGCTTTGTGTTCATGGATGCGGTCCGAGACATGTCGTTTGGTTTCTCCAATGTAACTACTACCACAGAGGCAACTTAGTTTGTAGACACCAGGGTACTGTATGTCCAGATGGAACCAGATCATGGATTTAATGTAATGTGTTGAATCGGACCTGGATCTTGTGTTTATTCAAGATTTTGGAGATCTTTTTTGTGATCCCCGCAATGTAGGGTAAAGTGATGGTTTTGAATGGCTCCTCAAGAGGGTCCTTCTTCATGGTTTGAGTGATAGCTTTGCGGATTGTGTAGTCGGAGTAACCATTAGCCTTAAGAGCTTGGTGTACGTGCTTGAGTTCACTGGCTATGTGTTCCTGGTCGAAACGTCGTGATAATTTTATTGTTTTATATTTTTATTATTTTATTGTTTCCCTTCTACGTGACTTTACCGAAAGAACCAAAAATATGAATCCCTGCAGTCACGAAAGCTTTAAATCTAAATGTAATATGAATTTGTTCAGTTTATGGAGGATATGTCTCTCCCATTTACAAGATTGAATATTTGCAATAATATTGAAAACATGACACATTCATCAAATTCATTTTTAGTACTATTATTTATTTTTGAAAATACTTCTGAAAACATTAATACAGGTTAAAAGAACTTGAACAACAATAGACATTGACAATGTGGAATAACAAATTTCCAACACAGCAACATTGGTATTATGTGAACATTTTGGAGATTTTTTGGCACATTTTACCAGCCAGCCGCTATAAAATCACAAAAGTTATTTTTGCAAATATCCCTGTGGGTATAAAAGTCAAAGGCGTGCCATTCATAGCAGCTTAATTTACATTTCACAGTCTGAAACAAAAAAGTCCTCTACTATTCTGTTTTAATATGATACGTGTTAGGCACATTGAAGCAGATTATACGAGATCAGTTTTAAAATTCCTCATGGTCTTTGCTAAAGGGAATTTGAATAAGCCATGTAATTAAACACAGCCAGTAATACACATTACCAAATATCAGCACTTCGCAAATAGATGTACCTTCAAAGTTAAAAGCAACAACAACATTACATAGCACTGGGATGATGCTATTTGTAGATTGGAATCAATATTAATGCTCAAGCCAAGTTATATATGAATTGGTTATAAACTGGTGTCATAGACGTTTAAACCTCGGGCAGTATTCCATTATGCATTCCTGACAATCCAAGACACCTTAGCCAAATTACCAAATTACCGCTCTACTTAACATTCTAACAGCGCACAGGGTGGCCTCGTCACCACTATTATTTATAAGTTTCCTTCTACTTTCTGGTAACAATTAGCGCTCTAAACGTGTTGTTGTTGGGCAGTTTAGTTTTGTATTTTCCTAAAAAAAATCGCGTTCCAAGTTTTCCAGTGCAAGTAATGAAAGTGATTTTAAAATATAAATAGATGGTGTTTATATAAGATTTTTGATCGTTCAAGATGCCTCTCCTTTTTCAGAACCTTGAACACATGCTAATGAAACTCTAAACGCATCTTATACATTTAAAAAACATAAATTCCTATTGTCGTGTGGCAGCTGAAGAACCGGGCAAATGTTTTAAATCCCCCTGCATCTGTCCATCCAGCAGTATAATTGGAGTATAAATAGGTTAACCACAGTTAGTCATTCTGCAGATTGCGTCCAGTGAGATAAAAGTGTGGTTACACTCGCAGCTTACTCGACAGTTGGCCATTGTGGAAGAGTAGGCCAAAAACCTTATGCCCTATAGAGGGCCTCTCTAAAGCTACCTCTAGTGGATACCGTTCTGCCAGCAGTGGAGTGAGCAAGGAATTGCAGGACTGAACCTTTACTTTATATAACAGCCCAAAGTGCAGACTTATGGGAAAGTACAACAACTAAATCTACCTCTTGCAGTGGATAAAGCCTGGTAAGGGAGGATAAACAGGGAGGAGAGGGATTGTTAAGCCCTCAGAAGGTACAGCCATCTGTCCAACACGAGATGTCCCAAATTAGCAATCTGGTGAGGGATTTTTAGGTTTCTATAAGCAGGTGTGGTCATTAAAATTAATGTGAATTTAAAGGCATGCGATCAGTCATTCAATTAACTGTTTTAGAGCCACAGTCGACAATGGGAATTTGAAATTCAGAAAACTCTGCACCTAATGGTGCTAGGTGGTGTTATTGCACCAGTGAAAAGCCACTCGCACAGGCATCATCGTCAGCCTGATTAGTTCACTGCTGATGAGTGGGGCACCGTGGTGGCAAGATGCGTTTGGCTGCTATACATCTTCTGAAAAAGAGCTGTATAGCTCAGTGGGCCTTACTTGTTAAAAATTAAAATAGTTTACATAGTTAAATAAAATAGTTTTCCGAAAAAAAAAAATTCATGAAAATCGTGATGTTAATGGTGTGTTCAATTTGTTGGGAACTCGTACAGGGCACGCCAACGTGAAGACATTTGTCACGTGTTTTACAACGCGTCCTCCCAATTGACAACAATCGATAAGGAATTTCGCGAAACATCGCCAAGCGTGATCGTTTTATGAAAATGTTTTGAACTCCTTGACACTTAAGGCAAATGGAGGCCCGATTATAATTATCGCAAGCAAGCGAGAAGGAAGCTTGTATTGCCTCTGAAACGTCGTGATTGGATTTTATTATTATTATTTATTATTATTATTTTTTACCTACGTGACTTTAACTAAAGAACCAAAAAGTATGGATCATTGCAGTCACGAAAACTTCAAATCTAGAATTTAGGTGGAAGAGGTTGATGAAGACTGCGATGTTTTCTCTTCCATATACCATTGTAGGAAGTGAGCAGGTGATCGTTCTTCTCGCGTATAAAGTCCAATACCTATTTGGATATTGATATAAGATTGATGACATTTGTAGAGCCTGTGTTTTGCTCCTTCGTTTCTCCATTGAACGATCGCTTGGGGCAGTGGTTTAGGATATGGTCTATGGTCATTGTTCTGTGCAGACTTCTCTGGAGATGAGGGCTGCACCATTGCTTCTTGCTTTGTTTTTCAGCACTGCAGGGATCTTCAGCAGTTGGAAATTATGCCTCCTGAAAATGGCCACAGTCGTGGTGCGTGGTGGGAAAATCTTGAGAGAAGAAACGCACAGCGCACGGCCTAACCCTGTAGATCACACTTACCAGGCATTGTATTTATCGTTCCGTTTATAGCTCATTGTAGTGGTGGTAGTAATTACCACCACGCCACATCGCTGTAATGGTAGTGCTCCGCCTATCTCTGTTCATGATCTCTCTGCGTGTGTCTCCACCCCCACCCCCATTGCTGCACGGCGCAGCACAAGCACCTGAGCCAGACCAAGTTCCGCGTCATATCAACGGTGCTATTTCTGCTGGCCGGCTGCCTCTTCTTCGTGGTCATCCCCACCGTGATCTTCATGCACGTGGAGGGCTGGACGACACTCGAAGCGATTTACTTTGTGGTGGTCACCCTCACCACCATCGGCTTTGGGGACTACGTGGCGGGTGAGAGCATGGACGCGACCTGGCGGGTGGCACGGCCCGCGCTCGTTGCCGGAGGTGTTCGCGGTTCCATTCCACCGGCCACGCTTGGTTCACGCTGCGGCTGTGGTGGTGGCCGCCATAAAATACGCTCGCCGTCTGCTTTACAGTGGACGTTATTAAAGATCACGTGACATTATTAAGTATGATTTTGCGTTGTTAAAGATTACGTGAAGTTGTTAAAGGTCACGTCACGTTGTTAAAGGTAACGTCACGTTATTGAAGATCAGGTGACGTTGTTCGAAAGACAGTAGGGGCACATATGCCGGCGTGTAACCACTTCGTAGCATCACCCCCTACTTACAAACCAATTTCCGCTTTGCTGGCCAGTGCTGCGGTGACCTTGTGTTGACCTTGTTGACCTTGTTGACCTTGTGCTACACAGGTATAGCCGCCGCCAGGGTGCCTCAAAATGTACTGCATGGGAGGTGCAGTATTAATAGTCAGCGAAAATAATTATGAAAATGAAAGGTGTTTTTACTTTTTACAATGTTATTGTACAATTGTTTGGGAGCCAAATTTAAATTATTTCATACGTTTAGGGTTAATGAAGTAGGCACTCATGTTTATATGCACAGTCCTCTGTCAGTCCACTGCTGGATGAGGGCCTCCCCATGTTGAGCAAGTTGTTAGGGTGATTGGACCATACATCACCACGCTGATCAGTGAGGGTCAGATTAAATATCCAGGTTTAGTCCTGCTTGGCTTCTCAGATATGCTGAGATTGGGTGCATTCTGGGTTATTGGGTCATAGACAGAAAGTGAGAATTTCCCATCTCTCTTTGGAGCCTGGGTGGTCTTGCGGTCAGTGTGCCTGCCACTGAACTCAGTCTTGTTCGACCATAGTTTTAAATTGCCCACCACGAGCTGAGAATTTATGTGGGAAATGACCAATTTACCTAAATTGCTTTCAAAGTGGGCATTACCACGTTAACCAATAGAACATAAAACATGTGTTCCACATCTTTTTCTCCAGAAACTCCAAACTCATCAAATAGAGGTTGGTTTTCAAATATGCTCTTAAAATAGAACCCTTATGGTCGAAAGAAATGTGACTTGGAGCATGAGCCACAACGTTATTAAATTAAATATAATTTTTTAGGAGTGTGCAATGAGAGTGCCGGAAAAGAATGAAATGTTTGGTCGTTGAATGTCTGCAGACTGCTAAATGCCTCTCGAGTCTGTATGTATGTTGCATTTCCTTTCCACCATACGTAGTCAACCGTGCTAATTGAAAGTACCTCCCCATACCATGTGGGTCTTGGGGGTTATTTGAGCATACTTCACGACGCTGGTCAAGGCTGGTGGCATAGATGATGGAGCATGGTACAGTACAAACATTTTTGCTGTACTGCCTTCTGCTGATATTGTAGCTCCACAGCTGCCTGTTTAATTCACGGTGGTCGCCCATCCGAGGGCAGTCCAGGCAGTGGCGTCACTGGGGGGGTGCGGGGGGGTGCGGACCGCACCGGGTGACACCATCAGAGGGGGTGACACCATCAGAGGGGGTGACACCATCAGAGGGGGTGACACCATCAGAGGGGGTGACACCATCAGAGGGGGTGACACCAAAATTACTGTCGAAACCATTTTTGTGCAGTGTTTCAGCATACATTTATTATTCTTTATAAAAAATATATCCACGTAGTTTTAATAACAACAACACAAATTCGTAAGCCCAACTTACATGTACAATATACCTACAAGGCAAAAACTCTATGCTAATTTACTTTTTGAACCTTTTAATGCGCTCCGGTCAGATCAGTCATTGTTACCCAACTCCAGTGACGCTTCGAGTCACGTGGTTTCGTCTGCACGCGCTACAAGCACGCGCTGGTGTGTTTTCGTCGCTGCTGCTGTTTTAATAGTCGCTGTTTTTGTCAAATTTTCTGGTGTTTTAGCTACAATATTGTGGTCATAAGTATTTGTGAACCTATATCAATAACTTTTTTACAGAATTAAGTAGTAATTAAAGGAAATTGTAATTTAAAGGTATAATTTAATTTTTACTAGTTGTTTATGTCACTACTATTGCCATTACTTTTAGTGATATACGGGAATTACGATTTACGAGTGACATTAGTACAAAAACTATTACTAAGGATTCTGTATGGTCTAGTACGGGCGGAGGTCCATGAGGGGTGACACAATGAGTTACCGCACTGGGTGACAGCAACCCTCGTGACGCCACTGAGTCCAGGCACATGCTTAATGCTTAATCAAGATTGATGCCTGCTTAGCTTGCGACATCCAATGAGTTGTTCGTGCATTTGAGGTAATTTGTTTATTCGCTGAGTTGAAGTGATCCGATGTAATAATAATAATTTAAATGTATTTATGTATTCATCAACAGGTCAGAGTAAATGCTTCAATGTGTTTAGTCATCATCATCATCCTCATTATTAATGTCAGCCACGATCTATCCACTGCTGAATGAAGGCCTACCCAAGCCATCAATATCTCTTCATGTATTATTTTTGTACTTTTATAACACTGGAGTATATTATTTCTTGCACTAAACATTCTGCTGTGCCCTTGAGTAAATACAACAACAAATGTTCTTTCTAGTTTACATAGTGCAAAGTACTTTGTGTGTGTTTATTGCTGAGAAAGCCTTGCCATACGATAGAACCTACCCTTCTCAGTAATGTACTCTACACTGTGAGAACATCACATTCCCTTCTTGTTCTGGATGAAAAATTGCCTCATTGGATCGCTCTGACATGGGTTAAATTATTCCACTACAAGGAGTATTTTTTAATCAAATCAATTGCTCCAGCTTCTAGTTACTACTCAGTCAAGGTTAGCGTGTAGGTTGATATTTCTGTAACATACAATGAGGGAAAAAAGTATTTGATCCCCTGCTGTTTTTGTACGTTTGCCCACTGACAAAGAAATTATCAGTCTATAATTTGAATGGAAGGTTTATTTGAACACTGAGAGACAGAATAACAACAACAAAATCCAGAAAAATGCATGTCAAAAATGGTATAAATTAATTTGAATTTTAATGAGGGAAATAAGTATTTAGCCCCCTCTCAATTAGAAAGATTTCTGGCTCCCAGGTGTCTTTTATACAGGTAACGAGCTGAGATTAGGAGCACATTCTTAAAGGGAGTGCTCCTAATCTCAGCTTGTTACCTGTATAAAAGACACCTGTCCACAGAAGCAATCAATCAATCAGATTTCAAACTCTCCACCATGACCAAGACCAAAGAGCTCTCCAAGGATGTCAGGGACAAGATTGTAGTCCTACACAAGGCTGGAATGGGCTACAAGACCATTGCCAAGCAGCTTGGTGAGAAGGTGACAACAGTTGGTGCGATTATTCGCAAATGTTAGAAACACAAAAGAACTGTCAATCTCCCTCGGCCTGGGGTTCCATGCAAGATCTCACCTCGTGAAGTTGCAATGATCATGAGAACGGTGAGGAATCAGCCCAGAACTACACGGGAGGATCTTGTCAATGATCTCAAGGCAGCTGGGACCATAGTCGCCAAGAAAACAATTGGTAACACACTACGCCGTGAAGGACTGAAATCCCGCAGTGCCCGCAAGGTCCCCCTGCTCAAGAAAGCACATATACATGCCCGTCTGAAGTTTGCCAATGAACATCTGAATGATTCAGAGAACAACTGGGTGAAAGTGTTGTGGTCAGACGAGACCAAAATGTAGCTCTTTGGCATCAACTCAACTCGCCGTGTTTGGAGGAGGAGGAATGCTGCCTATCACACCAAGAACACCATCCCCACCGTCAAACATGGAGGTGGAAACATTATGCTTTGGGGGTGTTTTTCTGCTAAGGGGACAGGACAACTTCACCGCATCAAAGGGACGATGGACGGGGCCATGTACCGTCAAATCTTGGGTGAGAACCTCCTTCCTTCCCTCAGCCAGGGCATTGAAAATGGGTCGTGGATGGGTATTCCAGCATGACAATGACCCAAAACACACAGCCAAGGCAACAAAGGAGTGGCTCAAGAAGAAGCACATTAAGGTCCTGGAGTGGCCTAGCCAGTCTCCAGACCTTAATCCCATAGAAAATCTGTGGAGGGAGCTGAAGGTTCGTGTTGCCAAACGTCAGCCTTGAAACCTTAATGACTTGGAGAAGATCTGCAAAGAGGAGTGGGACAAAATCCCTCCTGAGATGTGTGCAAACCTGGTGGCCAACTACAAGAAACGTCTGACCTCTGTGATTGCCAACAAGGGTTTTGCCACCAAGTACTAAGTCATGTTTTGCAGAGGGGTCAAATACTTATTTCCCTCATTAAAATGCAAATCAATTTATAACATTTTTGACATGCGTTTTTCTGGATTTTATTGTTGTTATTCTGTCTCTCACTATTCAAATAAACATACCATTAAAATTATAGACTGATCATTTCTTTGTCAGTGGGCAAACGTACAAAATTAGCAGGGGATCAAATACTTTTTTCCCTCACTGTACGATGGGTTTGGGAATTTTTTTTTCTTCCAAATTACAGTGTGTAAGTGTGCTGTATTACATTTGAGAGCACGTACAAATGTTATCAATCATTTATTTGGTACAGCTTTCAGGATTGCTTGGGTAGCATTTTCCATTTAAAACCCCTAAGGTGTGTGCAGTGCAAAATGCTCTGACGCATGCCTTTTATCATCCAGCATTGCGGTGGTGAAGATTGGCGGATCATACAAATTTTGTGAAACTCCCTGCCTGTGGACATTGACCTGCCATGCCATTGACGTGTAATATTCTGCTTTACCAGGAGATTGCGGTACAGCAAATATGAACTTTATCTGCTCTATCTGCGTGGGATAGAGTGTGTTCCCCTCCAGGTGCTCTAAATTCCTCCCACATTAATGGAGTTGGCCAAACATTGTATGAATGTACGTATGTTGAACTTGTTTCGCACCGTACGTAGCCAACCGTGCTAATCGGAGGTGCAGGGGAAGGGCATCAAACTAAACACGCACACAAAATGTCG